CTCTCATTAAATCCTCATGTCTAATCTACATGCAACTCAATTTCCCTCCTCCAGTACTACTTAAATTCTCCTTTGTGCTATCACTGTGGTGACTATATATCCTGGTTTGCCTGGGTCAGTCCCTGTTTATCCTTGTCCTGGTATTAATATCACTAAGGTTGCCATTTCACACTCAATGATATAGTAGTTTGTATGATAAATCAAATAGCACCTTTACCTAGAAAGCTTTATTTTATGTTACTTTTCTCAGTCTCATTCCCTAGTCTCCATTGTATTCAAGTTTGCTCATGGTAAATGCAGCTCTATCTTTTCAAGCCAGATGCCATATAAAAATTTAAATTTTCATGATATTTTTTCTCTCCCCATCCTACTATCAACAATTTAATATATTCCCTTCTTACTCTCGACTTCTATATTTACCAACATGGCATTATAGTTAATTACACTTACATGTAGTTATTTGTGTATTTTTAATTTTATATTCATGGCTTTCAACAAGTTCAGAGCGTGAATCTTTTAGCAATTGAATTGCTTCCATCTGCAAATATCAGAAAACACTACTTGACCATTTAAAAATAAAGAATATTTATTATGACACATAACAAATGTTGCAAGGTAGGGTAGTTCAGATATGACTAATTCAATATTTGAACATCAAATCAATGATTCAGTTGTCTCTTCTCTGTTTCCTCTTCCATACTATATGTCTTGGTCTATTCTACTCCCCTTCATGTTGCCATGATGACCATTTTGTTTTAGAAATAGCTTTTCTTTCAGAAGAACATTTCTCTTATCCATCTTTTATAAAAACAAGAATCTCTATTTCAGAAGCACCCATCTGTCTTAGTTACTTTTCTCATTTCTAAGACAAAATAGCCAACACCCAGAGTTAAGGGAGGAAAGGTTTGTTGTAATTCACATTTTGTAGAGGTTTTGGTTCATAGTTGGCTGGCTCCAGAAAAGAATGGTATAGTACAGGGGCATCGCAGAGGGGAAAGAGTTCATGATGGGGTGAAGAAGCAGGCAGCAACAGCAAGCTTTTCTTCCGTCCCTTTGTATTTATCCAGACCACTTGCCCTTTAGGTGGTGCCACTCACACCCAGGTGGACCTTCCAATTATCCACACCCAAAATTATGCCACATCGATCAGGGCACTAACAGTAATCACACACTCTTAATCCCAGCATCACACACTTACTCCTAGCCTCTCATACCCTAGATCAAGCCACCTCTAAAAAGCTCCACCTGTGAGCGCATGAGGCTTTGGCGGAACATCCAGAGGCAAGCTGTAACACCCATTCCTAGAAGACGCCTCCTGCTGCATCAGATGAAATCCTAATCATACTCCCAGACTGAAAATGGCATAGACTGAATACACAGAGGCATCAGGACTCAAGAAATCATTTAACCTTTTGGTCAAGAATGTCCTGAAAATTAGCCCCTTATAAGAAAATTAGGAAGAGAAGAAAACCAATGTTTTCTTAGGAAGAGGATACATAACATTTAGAAAAACAACAGTGTCTGCTACATGTAAGTTTGGACTTAATAATTATTAAATGTGGTATTGGTTTTAAGCCAGAATATAAATAATTTTAATTTATCTGTAAAGGTGTTCAAATGATGTCGAGAATTTTAAAATTTCCAGTACTGCACATAACAGATTCATTTTAATACCATTTTGCTTAAATTCATATGAAGAGATTATAATTAAGATTTTGAAAGAAAACTTGATTGAGATTTTAATAGCCATCATTTGCTGGCCAGCAGATGATGCTCAGAATTGCTCATTAAGTGTAATTGTTTGCTGTTGCTCTTTGCAGGAATGTTTCTCCAAGTACTCGAATCCCATGAGACACCACAATTCATAGAAGTTCAAGTTTCTGTTACAAATTTACCTTTTGTCCTCATACTGCAGAATTCTCAAAATATCTGTCAACTGTGAAATGTTACAAACAATAGACCAAAAAATTGTGATCCCCCTCCTGTAGCACCAAAGGAGCATGTAAAATGAGGATGTTCAATGCTGTCTTAGAGGCCCATATTGATGCCCTCTCTGACCATCCAGTGTTGGTTCAGGCCCCACACAATTCGAGAGCATCAGTGGTTATGCTGGACATGAAAGCAGAGAATTCGGGGCAGTTCTCACAGTCCTTCATTGATGTTAATATTGCACTCTGCAGATGGGGTCTGTTCAACCTTCTGAAGGAGGCGGTACGCATGCCCCAATCCGGAGACTTGGTGGCCCAGCCTTCTAGGCCAGCATGAAAGAGAGCCAGAGTTCTTAACCTAAAAATAGAGGATCAGAAACATGCATTTTGCTTCTGAATGAAATAGTACAAAATAGAGGGCATCTACTTCTAATACTTCCTAGGGCATTTTTATAGGTCTTGGTGCCAGAGGGTTTGGAGCTGGCATTTTATGTTCTCAACAACAATCTTGCTACCTGGTGAGATAGGATGACTAATATTTTGACAGACCACAGTAGAACTCAGTAGAGAAGTAGACTTTAAGATTATGCATGACTTGGACATTTGAATAATTGTTCTAAAGGATTGAAGGAGTTGGATAAGATTGGTTTCCTTCAGACTGTAAAAGTCAAGAATTCTTATCTTGGTAATCCTTTACGTGTATGTCAGATACAGAAAATGCTGATCTGAATACTGAAGGGAGGAGTGATGGGAAAACAGTACAGAAACTAACTTTTATATGTAATTTATAGTTGGCTTCAAAAATCATACTTGTTTGCCTTTAACGATTAAAATCAATAGAAAGGCTTTAATAGCAGCTCTATAGGCTTCTATGCTAGTCAGCTTCTGCAATAAATATGCAATCATTACTATTTTGGGAAATAATATTTATTTATAACTTTCATCCACAGCTTAAACTCTTTTCCTTAAATAAACTTCTTGTTAAGTATTACCTGAAATCATGTTACTTTCTTCAGCTTCCACCTAACTGCTCCATCCCTAATATTTTGAAAGACATTTTGGAATAGCCAGTTTTTAAAATAAAGTTCAGTAGTCTGGGGAAACATTGCCAAAAGTAATATTCCCAGCCTCATCCCATTTTGTCCAATATGGACTCTGTCTTTTACTCCGCTTGAGTAAATGTAGCCATTGGTTAGCATCTTATCATCTATACTATATTAGTCAGTTTTTGAGTCGTCTAGACACCTAACACATAAGACCTAAAAGAGATGTAACTCACTTATAGTTTCAGTCTGTGACCAGCTGACTACAAAGCAGAGATACTGTGGTGAAGGGTGTGGTGAAACAAAGCCACTTGAATTGTTGTGGGCTGGAAGAAGAGCAGGGAGATAACGCCAGAGAGAAAGGAGTGAAGGACCAGACATAAAACCCAAGGCCCTAGGGCCGCAGATTTAGTTCAGTGGTTCCACCTCCTGCTTGGCAAGCACAAGGTCCTGAGTTGGATCCCGCGTACAAAAAACAAAACCAAACAAAAATAACCCCAAGGCTCTGCCTCCATGACCCATCTAGACACATCTAGAAGTGTGCTTTATCCATCTGTGGGGCAGATCCCAAAGCCAATCAAGTCAAAGCTCAACGCTAACTGCCATACTCACTTATCTAGCTTTATTTTTTAAAGAACATATTCCTAATGGAACACTACTCAACCGTAAAGAATGAGAAATTAGAGTCATTCATAGGAAAATGGATACATTTTGAGGATATACTGCTAAGTGAAATAAGTCACACATGTGTAAATACCGAATAGTTTCTCTGGTGTGAAAAACTATAATAGTACACAAGATCCTAATGGGATAATTAACAATGTGAAATAGGAAGAAAAGGGCTAAAGGTGTAGGGGAAATGGGAAGGGTAGGGGAAAGGGAATAGGGAAAAAGAAAAAAGTATAAAAATATGAAAAAATAGAAATAAAGTGTTTGTAAATAGGGAGGGGAGGAGGGGGTGAAGGGAGGACAGGGACAAAGGGAAAAAATGAGAACCAAGACCTGTCATGTAAAGGTGCAGGATCCCAATGATGAATGTAACTGTACTGTATACCTAGAATATACCAATAAACTCAATAAAAAGAAAAAAAAGAACATATTCCTATGGTTATCCTTTATACAGACAAGGTAATTGGGTAAATTACACTCATAAGCAGAATTTCAGATAAAGTTTTAACTTTTCTTCCTAACACAAAGCAAAACAATAAAATCTTATAATAACATGATAATATAATATCAGAATTAGGGCAAATTACTTGTGTTTGAATCTCAGGTCTACAATTACTAGCTTTGAGTCCTTTACATCTAAAATGAAGCAATAATAATTCCCTCACAGGGTAGTAGTGAGGACCAAATCTAATATATGTAAGATGTTAGAACAGTTCCTTTTCTATTTAGCCATGATAAATGTTAATGTTATTTTTTAAATGACAATGAAAGAATATTCGTGTGAATTTGTATAATATGTATATTTCATAAGTCATTTTAGATAATAGCCAGGTTTAAAAAAGGTATATTTCCCACTATTTAATGGAAATTCTTAAATTGGCTTGCTTGATAAACTCATCTGATTGAAAGCTTTCAGTGTTTCACATTTAAATTATAATTGTTAACTTTTCATAATATACTCTGAGCAATAATCTGAAATGTTGCACTTATACCAAATACAAATGAAGAGTCTACAAAATGAGCCCATGTTCCAGGATTCTTTTTGTTCATTTATTTTTGGATTTCAATTATGCTTTTCTTTGTATGTTCTCTTTAAACATGTTTAATGGGTGGTGAAGTATACGAATTTACTTTGCAATCATCATTTACTATTCCTGTGAAAGCATTTTAAAAATAAAGTCCTTCAAGCATCTAGTTCCTTTCTCAATAAAAAATGAACGACCTTAAAAGACATTTGCTCTGACAGTGTGTTTAAAAATGGGAGAGATGAAAGTCACAAAAACTGGAAGGAGATGACCGCTGGGGAAAGAGCTGTGTGATGAATTTGAAATTGCAAGGAATGCTGTTTCTGTTTACTCAGGCAGAGCTGTGCCCTCGAAAGCCTACTTTCATGAAAAGGAGAGTGTAACTCAGAGTATCATGGTTGATCCATTGAATATTTATTTCCATAATGTGAAGGTAAGGCAGGTAAAGGGGACCACTAATAATTCAGTCCTATCGTACCACATAAATCTGTATTTAGGAGTAGCAGAAATCTCAACCGCATAGCAGCACAGATCGAGCTAGCCAAAAGAAGACAAAGAAAAGAGAAAGGGATGGAATTACTGTCTGTTACTACACTGTAATGAAGAACCCCACTCGGGCTCAGGTCCTTGATAATTCTGTCCATATACAGTTTTCAGCAGCCACCAAAAAGAAGTCACGTGTGGGAAACATAGCTCTTCTGTGCTATAAGAAAAGAATGTTATTGTAAGCTAGCGATCTGAAAAGTAAGGTAAATTCCAGGATCTCCCGCTGGCCACTTGCTGCTGCACATAAATCTCAAAATCATTACATCAATGCCTTTTATTTCTCACCTCTGTCATTTCTTAGAGGATACTTTTCTTTCCCACTGTGTGAATTAATCTCTCTCCTCTTTTGTGTTAAACTTCTCTTTCTCTCTTCTTCCTAATAACCAGGGAAATGGTGAATGAGCCCATTGCCACTTTATAAAATAAGTCTTTTCCAGCTAACCCTTTGTGAAAAGGCCTCATTCTTTTTCTCATTATCATATAGTAGCTTCACTAGCTAATCTTTCCTAAATTCAAATTGCTTTTAGGAAGAAAGACTTTTTGATTTCACCTACTTTCATCCATGTTTCTGGTACAAAAGCTGTATTGAATATTTAGAATTATTCCTAGAATATAGATTTCTAAAGATCAAATACAGGTTTGGAAAACACTGCGCAATAAAGGTGATGATTTTTTTAAACAGAGTATAGTGTAGGAAAAATAATCTTGATGAAATTATAAACTCAGAAAGTCAAATAAGAAAGCTTTAACTGCCAAATTTTTCTTCCTACACTAAAATAAAATAGAATTATTATAAGATCATGTTGAACTCCAGAACTAGACTGCATGGGTTGTTAGGTGAATAACCTTACATAAGTCCTAGGGTTTAGATATGGATTGCATGTGATCCACAAGGGCTCATGTGTTGGAGTCTTGATCCTTAGGAAGACGATATTAACAGATATTGGGATCTTTAAGAAGTGGGGTTTATGAAGGGGTGTCTGTTAGGGGCACTTCCCTTGAAAGGGATTATGGGATTTTGCATGAGACCCTGAGTTATGAGAGGGTTGTTATGAAGGAACAATGTTGGCCATTCCCCAGCCTCTCTGACTTCCTGCCACACAATGTAATCTCTTGCTTTTGCATGCGTCCTCCTCTGATGCCATCTACCATGATGTGATTATAATCAGAGGGTTTCTTCACCAATCCTTGCACAATGCCTTTGGATTTTCAGCCTGTAAAACTATGAGTTAAGACTCTACTTACAGGTTATGCAGCCTCTAGTATTTTGTTAAAGTAGTGGAAAATGGAGTAATACAGTAAGTTATAGTTTTGTTAGTGTGTATTTATGTATGTATGTGTACGAGGTATTGAACCCAACATGTTTGCACTGAAGTACACCCCCTACCCGCTTTTAATTTAGTTTTTGAATTTTAAATAGGGTCTTGCTAAGTCACTAAGCTGCCCAAGATGGGGTGATATTGTGATCCTGCAGCCTCAGCCTCTTAGAGTGCTGGGAATCACTGGTGTGCTCTCATCTATAAGAGGAAAATGATAAGATAACACTATCATGTGGCTCTGGCAGTTATTAATACTGATATGCTAATATTCATTTAGATCCCTAAGAAGACTTAGAAGTTATGAGATTTGAGTAATTTTTCTTCATCAGTGTATTGGTGAGCTTTTCTGTTGCTATGACAAATTACTTGACACTTGCAAATTAACAGACAAAATCATTTATTTGGCTCATGGTTTCAGAGGTTTAAGTCCATGATTGATTCCAAGTCAGAAATATGGCAGAAGGCATATTGGAGTAAAGCTGCTCACATCACAGTGGCTGGGAAACAGAACCAGGGGAAAGGCTGCAACTAGAAACATACTTGTGAAAAGCACAGCCCTGGTGATCTATTTCAAAATAGCAGCACATTCAGCTATGAACTTCGGTGGATGCTCTAATGATTACAGTACCTCCATGACCCACTCATTCTTCATAGAGTTTCCTTCTTTTTTTTTTAAGTTGCAATTCCTTTTTTTTTTTTTTTTTTTCCTCTCCTTGAGTTTATTGGTACAGTTTAGGTATACAGTACAGTTACATTTATCATTGGGATCCTGTACCTTTACATGACAGGTCTTGGTTCTCATTTTTCCCCCTTGTCCCTGCCCTCCCTTCACCTCCTCTGCCCCTCCCCATTTACAAACACTTTATTTCCATTTTTCATTTTCTCATATATTTTTCCCTTATTCCTTTTCCCCTACCCTTCCCACTTCCCCTACAGCCTTAGCCCTTTTCTTCCTATTTTACATTGTCAATTATATCATTAGGATCCTATGTACTATTACAGTTCTTCAAACCAGAGAAACTATTTGGTATTTACACATGTGTGATTTATTTATTTCACTTAGGAGTATATCCTCACTATGTATCCATTTTCCTATGAATGAATCTAATTTTCATGGAGTTTCTTAATTGAGCCAAGATTCACTCACAGAAGTCCATCCTTTGTCAAATTTACACCTAATTAGAACTCCTTAAATCATCCTTGATCTACATATAAACACAATAATGAGATCATAATTCCAACATAAATTGCTGTAATTATCATAGATGAATGAAAATGAAAAAAAATCCCTTCCCCAAACTTTAAAAATCCCAGCGTTTTTCAAAGCTTCAAGTCAAAAATCTCTTCTGAGACTTAAGATAAACTATTATCTGTGAAACTATGTAAAAGCTAAAAATGAAAAACATGATCCCAAAGTACAATACACAGGGAAAACATTTCCATTCCAAATGGGAGAAATGGGGAATAAGAAAAAAATCAGACAAGAGAAAGCACAAAGCAGTTTGGAAAACTAAGTTCTGTTACTTCCATGAGCAGTATCTGGGAAACATAGTAAAATATGAGTCCCAGAAGGCTTGACAGCCCCAGCCCTATGGCCTTGCGGCTTGCAGATGCTCTTACTGATAATCTTGGGCTGTCTTGGCTCATAGCCTGCAGCTTTCCTTAGAAGATATTTAAAGTTCCTGGCATCTCCGCTTCCTGGGATCTTCCTTAAATCTTTGGCCTCACTCCCACAACCTCTCAGTTATCAACCTCTTAGGGGCTCCTGGCACAGACTTTGTCCCTTTCATACATTTTTACATCACCTCCTATGCCTTTTTTTGAAATCAAAGTGGAAGCCACTATAACTCCATAATTCTTGCATTGTGCGTGCCTGAAAAATCAGAATCATGTGAGCAATGCCAAGTTCTTCTGCTACCACAAGCAATAGATGAACCCCCTTGGACCATGGCTGCAGCAACCTCTGAGTACCTTTATGGTTGAGCATGGCGAAATGAATACCAGGGAACCACTTCCCCAGGCAGCTCTTCTTGGGGATCATGGGTTCATTTTTTTAAAGAAAGGTTTACTTATTTGCACCATTGAGCCTGCAATGGGTGAGATCTTGATGATTCTTGAGGTGCCCTTAAGGCATCTTTCTTCTTGTCCTCATTCAAGGCACTTAATTTTCTTTCTAATGGTGCCAGTATTTTCAGCAACACTTTCTCTGGTCACAACTTTATACATGATTTCCCTTTTGTGAAAATTAAAGTTTTTTGAGTTCTTCTGCCTTGCTTTTTGCCACTAATTTTCACCATAAAACTAGCTTTAAAAAGTTAGCAGTACCCATGCCACAGCCTAATTGTTAGGCTGCCTTGAAATTTCCTCTCCTAGATCAGTCCACTGCCCTTAAACAGCCTCCTGTAAAGTCATAGGCCATAAACAAGATGCAAACAGTGTTTTGGGGAGGCAGAGTATAACATGCATGAACTCTAGTTCAGTTTCTAATAGAGTCCTCAGTCCCATCTGAAGCTATATGAATCTGGCTTTCAGTGTTTACATTCTGATCAGCATCCTGGTCTGCTGAGCTCTGACTAGAATTGCCCATCAGGCCAGCTAGTGACATTTTAGGCATTTTCTTGTCCGCTTCTCTAAAAAATTTTAAATTCCTTGTTATGGCTTGTATCTAGATGGACCCCAAAGCCCTCATTTAGTCATAGGTAGAACTTTTCAAAGGTGGCTGGATTTAAAGTGTGGGATACTGGGATTGATTCATAGCTCAGTGTTAGGATTAAGGGTTCCCTACTCTGGGTGTGAGTGAATAAAATACAAGGAACAAAAGGAGGACTGCTTTCATTGCTGCTTGTCATTTGCTGCTTTTACTGCCTGCCATGAACTGTTGCTCTTCTGCCATGTCACTTTGCCTCCAAATAAACCTTTTCTCTTTTAACTTTGGTTGTCAAGTATTTTGTCTCAGCAAGGAAAAAAGTAACCAAGACATTTCTCTAGCAAATCAGTTCCAAAAGCTTTTAACACATGGTCAGATAAACATGCAACTACCCTACTTGCTGTATTAATTTTCTGTATTGCCCAGCTTTCCTCTGGATGGGACTAAATGCCTGAAGCCCATGAATGGAAGGAGGAGATGGTTTAATTGGCTCAAAGCTTCAGGGGTTTTACTCCATTTTCTGCTAGCTCTAGGGCAGAGACATCATGGCAGAAGGGCATGGTAAAGCAAAAATACTTCATAGCAATAGGAAGCAGAGCACAGGGGAAGAACATTAGCAAGAGCTGTATCTTCCAGAGGCATCAGTGACCCCCTTCATCCAAATGGGCCTCACCTGCCAAGAGCTCATTTAGCTATGACCATCAGTAGATTCATTCCACTGATGAATATAGTACCTTCATAATCCAGTCAGATTCCAGGAGTCCAGTTGACAATTGGGATTAGCTGGAACAAGCAGCTGTCTTTTTTCCCTAAAAGTATTACTTAACATCCTGCTAAATATAGTTTGGAAAGCATTCACCTAAGGACAGTTGATTTTCTTCTGTGCTCCAAAAAATTATTTCCAAAACACCATTATCTCAA